TTTTTGCAGAAAACGAATAAGAATTATTCAGAGAATAAGTACTATCAAGTGTGTTCATGGTGGAGGAGAAGAGTGAGGGGAGCTGAGGAAGCTAATGGAGCTTTGAGAGAGAGAGAGAGAGAAAGAGAGAGAGAGAGAGAGAGAGTGTGTGTGTGTGGTGTGTGTGTGTGTGTGTGTGTGTGTGTGTGTGTGTGTGTGTGCTTGGCCCTTGCTGGTGTTCCCCCTCAGCTGAGTGCTAACTCACAAGCTGGAACCAGACCTACACAGTGGCGGTGGGATAGGCTCCACACTTGGAAGAACAATTGCCTAGGGCTGTCGGGTGTTTCCCCCTCAGGAGAAAGCCAGCGTCTCATCTAAAAGTGTCAGGAGAAAATAAGGGTATTTTATATAGTCCTCAGTGTCCTCAAAGGGTCAACATTAAAAGTGAGAAAGCTGGCACAATAACTCCAGTTTTCCATACGATGGTCTTGTCAAACCATATATGCTGTACCTTATACTTCAAGCCCTGGTCTCTAAAGCGATAGGTAAACCTGGGGAGCTGTCTAGAGAACTAGAAGGCTGGAACCCTGAAACAAGGAAAGTCTCTGCTAACCCAGTCTGATCAGTAGAGGCGAGAGAGGTTACTTGATAGATTGAAGAGGAGGACATAAGAATACACCAGCTTTAGAACTTCCAAATCATTGATTAATCCTGAGTCAGACGAGGGCAAATGGTAGGTTGGGTCTGCAGGTTTACCGTCTCTCCTCTCTGTAGTAGACAGTCACTGACAGCCCCTGTCACCCTGTCCATCCCTTATCTTTGCATCTGTTTCCACTTGTACAAGATTCAGAACTGCTTGCTCCAGAGAAACCATAAAAACATGCATGTTTATAAGACTTACACAGATGAAGTACATTTACTGATACTGGAGTCCTGCAGTTGACACGTTTAGCTGTTGTCTGGAATTGGTTGGGTTGCCTGTGCAATGTTGAAAATAGTATGCTTCTGTGGTATTGCTCTTTCCTACGGCTTCTCCCTTCACAAGCCTGCCGACCTTGAGTTTTCTTCAGACAAGGCACTGTGGTGCTACAATGGTGAAAGGCTTGGCTGTTGACAAAGATTTAAACCCACCAGCAGCTCTACAAGAGAAAAATCCCGGTGATCTGCTCCTGTAAAGATTACAGCCTAGTGAACCCTATGGGCAGTTCTAGTCTTTTCTGTGGGGTTGTTCTAAGTAAAATGGACTCACTGGCATAGAGCAATGGAGGTTTACAAAAACATGTCTCTAATTAGCTATTGTGACCGGTTTCTCTTACCAGTGGTAAGCTCTTTATAACGGAGAGTATATCAAACATCACTCCATGGAGGACAAGAGGCCCAGTAGAGCCTGTACATACTAGGGAAAGAAGGAAGGGAGTGGGAGATTAGTTCATCGCCTTACACTGCTGCAGGACTGTCTTTTGTAGTTCCTGTCTTGGAAGAGGCTGAATGTCCTTCCTCTCAAGCACCATTTCCCATAATTGGATATGTCCTTTCACCTTTCCATAAAAGTAAAGCCATATTTACCCAGAGTCATTGCTTTTTCAACACAAGAGGTGCAAATTTGGAGCTTGGGAAAAACTGTAAGGAGCTAGTGGTATTACCCCCACGATAACAGATCTTACAGGTGTAGAATTCGCAGACTCCATGCAAAATGGCAAATTGCACGATGGCAATGGCAGAACCTTGGACCAAGAGAGGGACCAGCTAAAATGAAGGTCAGACTATAGCTGGTGAAGAATGTGTATGAAATTGTGAGTAAGGTCAATTATATAACAGTGCTCCTTGTAAGTGAGGGGGGAGGGAAGGAGGGCGCACTTGGGACAGGAAAAGAAGATGTAGTAAAAAAAAAAACCAAACAGGTACTTGTTTATACACATCTGACATGCCTGTAGTCTGGTGTGTTCAGCTCTGTAATACACTCTGCTGTCCTAAGTGTGCAGCCTCCTGCCGAGAAGAGAGTTGTTCTGGGAAGAGTAGCCTCCATGTACATTATCTGCCTTTCCCAGGTGTGTTACCAAGGGACCTTGGCATTAAACGTGCAAGGTGACTGCTCAGAGTAAGGGGGTTTCTACAGAGCATGGCCTAGTCTGGGACCAGGCTGGGCACGGAGCTCTCGTGTCCTCCCTTGTGATTGATGTATTCTCTCATAGTACCCCATGAAACACCTGTGTGTTAAGCGGAATTCAAATGTTTATTGATTCATCTCTTAACAGCAAATGTAAGGGTCACCCAGTATCACCCTTGGAAGGGGTTTTCTCCAGTTGGGCTTCAGTAGCTAAGCCATCAGTGAGTGGAAAGCTGGGCTTTGGGAATTTTTTCCTTTTTAAAATGGGATCACTTAAGTAGAGCCAGCAGGGCCCTGGTAGCATTGGACTACAAGCCAAAAGGTCAGCAGCTTCAGACTACCATCTGCTCCACAGGAGAAAAATGTGATTTTCTACTCTGGTCAAGATTTACCGTCTTATGTCCTGTAGGCCCACTGTGAGTCAGAATCGACTCCATGACAGTGAATTGGGTAGAGTGAGTGCAGAGCCGTTAAAATGGTGATATAGATGTTTATTTGTTAAATAAAATGACAGTTTTTATATGAAATAAAAATATTTTAAAAATACTATTGTCTAGTATAGTTAGTATCCTATTAGGAATTAAATGTGTAGCACATTCAATATGTATATACATACACAGTTTATATTATGAATATATGTATCAGAATACATGTGTGTATGAATGTATATGTATATATGTGTATGTATATGTACATATGCACACACGAGAGAGAGAGAGAGAGAGAGAGAGAAACCGTAATATTCCTAAGCTATGGAAAAGCAGCCCTGGTGGCGAAGTGGTTATGCATTGGGCTGCAATCATTAAGATCCGCAGTTCAAAACCTACCACAGCTCCTTGGAAGAAAGATGTGCATG